CGCACAGTCGAGTCCGACTCTTCGCGACCCCATGGATCAACTCTCGCCAAGCCCTCCTGTCTTCCGCCGTCCTCTGAAGTTTGCTCAACTTCATGTTCGTTGTATCGATGACACTGTCTAACCATCTCATCCTTTGCCGTCCCCGTCTTCTTTGACCTTCAATCTTTCCCAGCATCAGGGTCTTCTCCAGGGAGTGCTCCCTTCTCATTTGGTGGCCAAAGTATTTGAGCTTCAGTTTCATTATCTGGCCTTCCAGGGAACAGTCAGGGTTGATTTCTTTTAGGATTGACTGATTTGATCTTTTTGCAGTCCAAGGGACTCTCAAGAGTCTTCTCCAGCACCATAGTTCAAAAGAATCTATTCTTCGGCGCTCGGCCTTCCTTATAGTCCAGCTCTCGCAGCCATACATGACTACTGGGAATACCATTGCTTTGACCATGCGGACTTTTGTTGGCAGGGTGATGTCTCTACTTTTTATCATGCTGTTTAGGTTCGCCATCGCTTTCCTCCCAAGGAGCAGGCGTCTTTTAATTTCATGGCTGCAGTCACAGTCTGCGGTGATCTGGGATCCCAGGAACGTGAAGTCTGTCACTACTTCCACGACTTCCCCTTCTATTTGCCAAGGAGTGATGGGGCCGGATGCCATGATCTTAGTTTTTTTGATGTTGAGCTTCAAGCCCACTTTTGCGCTCTCCTCTTTTACTCTGAGCAAGAGGCTCTTTAGATCCTTTTCACTTTCAGCCATTAGAGTGGTATCATCTGCATATCTGAGGTTGTTGATCTTTTCCCCAGCAATCTTAATTCCCGCTTGTGATTCATCCAGGCCAGCATTTCGCATGATGTACTCTGCATATATATTAAATAAGCAAGGTGACAGTATACATCCTTGTCGTACTCCTTTTCCTATGCTGAACCAATCAGTTGTTCCGTATCCGGTTCTAACTGTCGCTTCTTGGCCCTTATACAGGTTTCTCAAGAGACATGTGAGGTGGTCTGGTACTCCCATCTCTTTAAGGACCTGCCATAGTTTGTTGTGATCCACACAGTCAAAGGCTTTAGCATAGTCAATGAAGCAGAAGTAGATATTTTTCTGGTACTCTCTTGCTTTCTCCATAATCCAGCGAATGTTGGCAATATGATCTCTCGTTCCTCTACCTCTTCGAAACCCAGCTTGTACTTCTGGTAGTTCTCTATCCACGTACTGTTGAAGCCTAGCTTGTAGGATCTTGAGCATGACCTTGCTAGCGTGTGATATGAGTGCAATTGTGCGATAGTTTGAACATTCCTTGGCATTGCCCTTCTTTGGGATTGGAATGTATACTGATCTTTTCCAATCCTGTGGCCACTGTTGCGTTTTCCAAATTTGCTGGCAAATGGAGTGCAGAACTTTAACAGCATCCTCTTCTAAGACTTTGAATAGCTCAGCTGGGATACCATCACCTCCACTAGCTTTGTTGTTAGTAATGCTTTCTAAGGCCCATTTAACTTCACATTCCAGGATGTCTGGCTCGAGGTCAGTGATTATACCGTCGTGGTTGTCAAGGACATCGAGGTCTTTCTTGTATAGTTCTTCTGTGTATTCTTGCCATCTTTTCCTAATCTCTTCTGCTTCTGTTAGGTCCCTACCGTTTTTGTCCTTTATCATGGCCAGCTTTGCATGGAACGCTCCCTTGATTTCTCCAATTTTCTTGAAGAGATCTCTAGTCCTTCCCATTCTATTGTTTTCTTCTATTACTTTGCACTGTTCATTCAGGAAGGCCTCCTTATCTCTCCTTGCTGTTCTCTGGAAATCTGCGTTCAGTTGGGTAAATCTTTCCTTTTCGCCTTTGCCTTTCGCTTTCCTTCTTTCCTCTGCTATTTGTAAAGCCTCATCAGAAAGCCACTTTGCTTTCTTGCATTTCTTTTTCTTTGGGATGGTGGTGATTGCTGCTTCCTGTACAATGTCACGAACCTCTGTCCATAGTTCTTCAGGCACTCTATCTATCAAATCCAGACCCTTGAATCTATTCTTCACCTCTACTGTATATTCATCAGGGATGCGATCTAGGTCAAACCTGAATGGCCTCGTGGTTTTCCCAATTTTCTTCAGTTTAAGTCTGAATTTTGCAATGAGTAGCTCATGATCTGAACCACAGTCAGCTCCAGGTCTTGTTTTTACTGACTGGATAGAGCTTCTCCATCTTTGACTGCAAATTATATAGTCAATCTGATTTCGGTGTTGCCCATCTGGTGATGTCCATGTGTAGAGTCGCCTCTTAGGTTGTTGGAAAAGGGTGTTCGCTATGACCAGTGTGTTCTCTTGACAAAACTCTGTTAACCTTTGCCCTGCTTCATTTTGCTTTCCAAGGCCAAACTTGTCTGTTATTCCGGTTACCTTTTGACTTCCTACTTTAGCATTCCAGTCCCCTATGATGATGAGGACATCATTTTTTGGTGTTAGTTCTATAAGGTGTTGTAGGTCTTCATAGAACCGGTCCACTTCAGCCTCTTCTGCATCAGTGGTTGGGGCATAGACTTGGATTACTGTGATGTTGAATGGTTTGCCTTGGAATCGGACAGAAATCATTCTGTCATTTTTGAGATTGTATCCCAGTACTGACTTTTGCACTCTCTTGTTGACTATAAAGGCCACACCATTTTTTCTACGAGATTCCAGGCCACAGTAGTAGATATAATGGTCTTCTGAGTTAAATTCGCCCATTCCTGTCCACTTAAGTTCACTGATTCCTAAGATATCAATGTTAAGTCTTGCCATCTCATTTTTGACCACGTCAAGCTTACCTTGATTCATAGATCTTACATTCCAGGTTCCTATGTAGTATTGTTCTTTGCAGCATCGGACTTTCCTTTCACCATCAGACACATCCACAACTGAGCGTCCTTTCGGCTTTGGCCCAGCCGCTTCACTCTTTCTGGGGTTACTTGTACTTGCCCTCTGCTCTTCCTCAGTAGCATATTGGACACCTTCCGACCTGAGGGGCTCATCTTCCGGCGTCATATCTTTTAGCCTTTTGGTACTTTCCATGGGGTTTTCTTGGCAAAAGTACTGGAGTGGGTTGCCATTTCCTTCTCCAGGGACTTCAATAGATCATGGCTTAACTCTGGGTGGATTGGACCCTGTGCGCATGTCTGTAATTCTGCTTTGTACAGCTTGGGATTCACATATCTCATCTCAAATTGTCCTACGGGAGAAATAATTTGGAGAGTCACATTGACCTTATTATTGAAGCTGCATTGTCACATGAGGCTGCTTTTATATTAAGCTCAATCGTTGATTGATCAAGGTCAGTCTTGTCTGTTCTGAGTGGCGACGGCTTTCCAGGGTTTCCGGCCGACATCTTTCACTTCACCTGCTGCCTGGTCCTTTTAGCTGGAGATGCCAGGGATGGACCTGGGACCTTCTGCATGCCAAGCAGATGCTCTGCCCCTGAGCCACAGCCATAAATGAAATTCCCTTATACTGATCACTGGTTTATCAAGATTAGTCTTGTATATGATGACTGATGAGATGGTTAGATGGCAAAGGATGAGATGGTTAGACAGTGTCATAGATGCAACGAACATGAAATTGAGCAAACTTCAGAGGACGGTGGAAGACAGGAGGGCTTGGCGGGAGATGATCCATGGGGTCGCGAAGAGTCGGACTCGACTGTGCGACTGAACAACAACAACAAATGCTGACTGACAGGTGCTGTTCCACTGGTGTTTCTGGTTGAAGTCTTTCATATCACCTTTTAAGAACATAAGAACATGTTGTTGTTGTTGTTGTTGTTCAGTCGCACAGTTGAGTTGGACTCTTCGCGGCCCCATGGGCCACATCACGCTAGGCCCTCCTTTACTCTGTCGTCCTCCGGAGTTTGCTCAATTTCATGTTCGTTGCATCTATGACACTGTCTAACCATCTCATCCTTTGCCGTCCCCTTCTTCTTTTACCTTCAATCTTTCCCAGCATCAGGGTCTTCTCCAGTGAGTGCTCCCTTCTCATTTGGTGGCCAAAGTATCTGAGCTTCAGCTTCAGGATCTGGCCTTCCAGGGAACAGTCAGGGTTGATTTCTTTTAAGATTGACTGGTTTGATCTCCTTGCAGTCCAGGGGACTCTCAGGAGTCTTCTCCAGCACCATAATTCAAAAGAATCTATTCTTCGGTGTTCGGCCTTCCTTATAGTCCAACTCTCGCAGCCATACATTACGACATAAGAACATAAGGCTCATCTAATCCGGCATCCTGTCTCTCACAGTGGCAGCCAGCAGAAGCCCACAAACAGCATCATCCTACCTGTGTTCCTCAGCCACTGATTTAGAGACCTCTGATACAGGAGGGACTAGATTATCCATCATGATTTAGTAGCCATCCCATTCTATGGGATTCTCAACCAGTGTTCCCTCTAAGCTGAGTTAGTGTGAGCTATCTCACAGTTTGTTAGCCTCCGGCTCACACCTTTTTGTCTTAGCTCAGGAAGGATGGCTCCAGAGCAAACTGATTTAATGCCAGTAGCTCAGAAAGTAGAATTCTTGCTCACAAGACTGCTTAGCTTAGAGGGAGCATTGCTCGCAACTGGAGATGTTGGGGATTGAACCTGAGACTTTCCCCCATGCAAAGCAGATATTCTGCCTTGTCCCATATCAGTCTCTTCTCATCCAATGACACTTTAAGCTCATTTATTTTTTTTAAAAAAGCTTCTCTCTGTATAAATTAAAGTTTTACAGATAAAACATACTTGTCGGATGACGTCTGAACCACCACGGAACTATCAAGGGGGAACTGTAACTCAAGACAGTTATGATTACTGCGAGTCACAGTTCCCCTCAGATACTTCTGAGCAAAGGGACGAGGTGAGGCCTTGCTGGTGGGATGCAAAAGGCCTTGTCTTCAGTCCCCAAATACCCTGGCTCGAGATCCTCTAAAGGGATTATTTTTTCACAGTAGCCAGATGCTTGCTTATGACTTGGCATTACAATATCAGTCCTCTCTTTCACTATTTACGCTTTTTGTTTCTACAGCTGTGGCAGCAACGTGTGGAGTGAACCTTGCTGGGATCCCCCGCGACACTCTCTTTGAAGGGTCGGAGCTGACAGGAGTTTGTCTTGAGATCCTGTGAAACGCTGAAGACTTTCCCACTTGCCGGGGGGGGAATTCTCCTGGGGAAGGAACGCTTGTGGGCCACTGGCCGTGTCATCGTGCCCAGCCTCAAGGAAAGGGGAAAGTCTGCGTTGATCCTGAATTGAGGTTTGACAAGACTGGGTCGATATTCTATGGCTGGTGCCCCTTATTCAGCCCTTATGTGAGTCCTTCACCTTGGACCAGGCCCGTGGAGCGTGCCCGCTATGGCGAGTAACAGCAGCTCCTGCTCCACGCCAGGGAGCGGGCATCTCAACAGCTACTCGGTACCGCATTATGCTTTCTTCTTTCCGCACATGATCGGGGGCCTCTCGCCGCCAGGGGCCCTGCCAGGGATGCAACATCAGCTTCCGGTCAGCGGGTACAGCACGCCATCACCAGCCAGTAAGTTCCCAGGTTGAGGGGCTTGTGTTTGTGGGCATATGTGAGACAGAGATGAAAGGAGGAGACCGAGCGAAGATAGAAATGCTCAGAGCGAGGGGGTCCATTTTGAAAGCGCCTTCACTACGTTTGATGAACCTGTCCTTTTCTGAGCAAATGATGCTTTGATGCGTTATATCACAGTTGGATCCAGTGTTTTGGCTTGCCTGAGTGTTGGAATATAATGCCCATGGTGAGGGCTTATGTTGGGGGTGTAGAGTACGGTCTTCAAGTTATGTGCCCATCTTCACCCTAATGGACCGGCCATTTCTGTGCCGCCATGTATTTGTGTTGGTAAACTGTTTCCACTGTCTCTCCACTTTCTCAGGGCATGTGAAGCCGTCTCTTGGCAAAATCTGTTTTGTCTCCTTTGAAGTTGTTGTGAAAATGTGTGCTGGTTTTTGGACCGAGACACGCATCCTAAATGTCAACATGGAAATTCTTTTTGGGTTTTCTTAAGTTGATAATCTCTTTTTGGTTTAATGTTTAACATTCGGACTCATAACATGGAGCTGTTTGAGCATTCCAAAATTAAGTCACAGTAATAACGTCTCCAACTTCTCCACGAAGTCGACAGTCACATGGTTTGGCATGTATCCAGACACTTAGGACCAGTTTAGGAACTGTTGGTTTTGATTATGGCATAGGTCTGATACGCCGTTCAGGTTTTTTGACGGAAAGCCAAGTTCTGTCAGTGAAATGCAATAGCTGTTCTGTACGCACACAACATTTAGGAAGGTTAAATTGCTAGCACTTCCCACCCAGTGGATGAGTATCTCTTTATTATATTTTAATTGCACCTTCTCTCCAGGGAGCTAAGTAGTCCAACTCACAACAACCCCATGAGGTGGTTTTGGCTAAAAGTGAGTCAGTTACTTACCTCAGGTCATCCAGTGAGCTTCCCAGCTGAGAAATTTGGATTTCCTGTTTGCAGACGAACCTAGCATAAAATCAGTATGATCAGCTAAATCTGCTCCAGGGGACAGAATGTTGAATTTTGGGATCTCAAATGGCTCTGGTTTAAACTCCCAGGTCTGCCAGAGGCTTCGCAGTTTGCCTCAGGCAAGTAGGTCTGCATCTCTTCCTCAGTTCCTTGTCTGTAAAATGGGAGTGAAGGTGGCCCACCTCACAGGAGAGTTGTTAGGACAAACTGGACAAAAAGCATGAGGCACTTCGTACGTTTACGAGATGTATGAAGGATGGCAGGAAAAGTCACTCCTCACCTGATGTGGGGAACATACAGATGGGAATTTGAGTGTTTCTGCTTTTAATAAGGTTCCCAACTATGGGTTGGGGAATACCTGGAGATTTTAGGGGTGGAGCCTGGGGAGGGAGAGGTTTGGGGAGGGACCTCAGTGGGGTACAATGTGCCATAGAGACTCCACCCTCCAAAGCAGCCATTTTCTCCAGGGGAACCGATCTCTGTTGTCTGAAGATAATTTCTGATTCTGGGACATCTCCAGGCCGCTCCTGGAGGGTGGCCATCCTAGCTATAAATTACTTTTGGCTTCAGGCTGTGCCCGTGTGTGCATGTAGACAAACCTGCACAATGTTGAGAACTGGATGGTTATTTAGGTAGATTCAAATGTGAATGTTTTCTGTCCTTTTGCCCACAGTTCTGTAATGTGAGAAACGCTGTGCTCCCAAATGTTATGCCTCTCTGGCAAAAATGTGTGTGGTTAAGGCTGTGTCGGTTCGTGGGAAAACAGAAAATGCCTGCCTCCTCAGACCTTCCCAGAGCCTATCGCTTGCATTTAAAAATAGCTGGTTCACTCTGTGTGAAGTTGTATTAACTGGATCAAAGTTTGAAAGAATTTCCTCAGTCTGGAGAGCCGTGCTCACCCAGCCGCGCTTGTGGATATATATGTTTGGGTGCGCAAGCGTATGCCTCGGCGGCCTCATGGGGATCCCATGAGGGGGTGGGATATATTTGGCTATTATTGGGTTAAATGCACAAAATATATATCACTCACCTTGGAAGCACAGAATAAATGTTTTGTAGTTTTTCCTTTGCTGATTGCCTGGGAGTGATATTTATTTGCCACAGGTGACCAGATGAGTGGCTGCTGACAAGCTTGTGTTGAATACGTAGCGCAAAAAGCAAGAAACACTCAGAAATGGCATATAAGACTGTATGAACTCTGCATGAAAGCAAGCATTTCTTCTGAAAAGTAATCACGTTTTCTGTGACGAAGTGCTCAGTTCTGCTGTCTTTATCAGTTATGCGCAGCAAGGAAACGTGGACTCTCAAATCTTTTGCAGCTCCTTTGTTTGGCTACTGTACCTAGAGATGGGGGGGGGCACTGAAGCCTGACCGATGGAAATCCAGTTCAGTTTCTCACCTTTTTAACTTCCTCAGTTCTTGAGGTTTCCTCCGGGCATTTGTGTGCACACTTCCGGGTCTACCTTCTGAACCATGAGGGCCAGAAACTTGCTTTTTAAAGTCACACTAGAAATTCTCAGGAGAGGCTGGCTGCTGCATTCAATACTGTGTCTCATGCTCGTATGGAAAAATGGCAGAATATCCCAAAGCCCTCGGCCAGACATGCAGATCTTTGCCATCCAACTGACCGATGCAAAATTTCAGTTTGCAGCCGTTTGAAAGTGACAACTTAATCCCGAAACCTCTCTGTCCTTGAACAGAGGAGGGCGGCTCAAGATTCGAAGAACAAACTTTGGAATCGTGAAAGAGGGCTCCCCTCTGCTTCATTGCTTCCTGTGTTTCTGACCCGTGGTGTTTTTTAATTCGTCATATTTTCCAACTTGCTCTTATAACCGTCAGAACTCGAAATGTGGGTTTTACGTAGGCGCTGTGGGAATTGTATAAAGCATGTCTTTTTAGGCCAAGCCCGTTTTCCTAACATTGCAGAAAGCACAGTGGGATAGAATTTTCCCTCTTTCTACCTCCTGGCCAAGGGAGGCAGTGATGGGTTGCCTGGGGCTTGCTGCAGAGACTTGTGAGGAGCTGAGCTTCCATGCGCCCTTGTGTGGCTTGTGAGGTGTGAAATTTTTTAAACAAAACATACATGTCTTCCCTTAGAGACGATGATGCACCCCACTATCCCTTCCCTCTTCCACCTCTGCAAGTTTTTGGCTGAAGTGCACATCTCTTTTTTGCTGCCTGTGATGCTGCTTTGGGAGGAGAAGAAGAAGAGATTGGATTTATACCCTGCACTTCACTACCTGAAGAAGTCTCAGAGCAGTTTACAATCCCTTTCCCTCCCCCTCCCCACAACGGACACCTTGTGAGGTAGGTGGGGCTGAGAGAGCTCTTTCGAGAACTGCTCCTGAGAGAACAGCTCTGAAAGAACTTGTGACTGACCCAAGGTCACACCAGCAGCTGCATGTGGAGGAGTGGGGAATCAGACCCAGTTCTCCCAGATTAGAGTCTGTGCTCTTAACCAGTACACCGAACTGGCTCTCGAGAAACATTAGTGGCGGAGGGTGAGGAACATAATTTTGTGACACAGCAGGAAATTAAGAAGCAGGGGTTGAAAGGAGCCCTCGCCTTGTCGGCAAACAGAGGCGAAATGAAGGAGTGCCCCATTTTTGATAGGCATGAAAGGAAATTCTGAGCGTTGCCCTCTGGACTATTGCCTTTAAAAATTTTTTACAGAATTGCAAGGGATTGCCTATTTGAAGAAGGTGGAGGTTGGAGTTGCTTCTCTTGCCTTCTGGGTCTCCTTCCAGCACAGATAAGAGCTGTGTCCACACTGCCTCTCATCTGGTCCTATTTCCAGTTTGGGAAGATTCCTGTTTTTCAGTGCTGAGAGTTGGTTGCACAGAGTCTTGACTTAGTACATTTTGGAGGGACAAAACATTTCTAGGCCTCCAGAGGGAAACACTCAGGGGTGGCCGCGCTGAACCTCTCCTTCTCCTCCCCTCTCAGTGGGCCCATTCCGCACGCATCATTTTGGTGGAGGTGGAGGAAGAAAGCACCACCAAGTCACAGCTGACTTACGGCGACCCCGCAGGGCTTCCAAGGCAAGGGACGTTGTTCAGAAGCGGTCTGCCATCGTCTGCCTCCGTGTCACGACCCGGGACTTCCTTGGAGGTCTCCCATCCAAGGAGACCCTGCTTAGAAGCTTCTGAGATCTCATGAGACTGGGCTATCCTGGGCCATCCCGGTCAGGGCAGTTATTAGTTGTTGGTAGACAATAACTTAAAAAAACAAATAAAAATGTTTCATCTGCACAGCAACCCTTTGAGTTTCCAGTTGTAAAAATGGGGGCACCAAAGCTAGAAGAGATACATGCCTAATGCCGCACCAAACGTTTATGGCTGAGGTAGAATTTGAATTCAGGGTAGCGGTCCAAACACGCCCCACGGTTCTACCTGTAACAATGTTTTTTTAAGAAAAATCTAGGCTATCGCTTCATTGTCTGGCAGTGAATTCCACATTTTAACCACTCTGTGTAAAGTTGTCTTTCCTTCTGTCTGTCCTGATCCTACTGCGCATCAGCGTCACTGGATGCCCTCGAGTTCCAGTATTTTGGGAGAGGGAGAACAAAAGATGAGTTCTGGGGTGCCACTGTGTTGGAGTTTCTTATAAAAATTGTGATTCAGCAGAGAAAAACAGCTTAGCAATGCCAGAGCGCAATAATCAGACTCAGAGTCCATGTGTGTTTAAAATATAAAGGTTTTACTACATTCTAGCACAGGGAAAGATAACTGGGAGGAAAATAACAACACAGCTAAACAGCTACATCTTCACTCTACAAAGGACGAGACTAGAAGAGCTTGCAATGGCTACTCTTACACGCTTCTGGTTGAAAACAGAACAAAGACGGGAAGAGGAGCCATAAAATGCAAAGACACTTTGACACTTTGCTTCCAATCAAACTCCTGGAACAGGAAGAATTTTCCCGGGCTGGCAGACCTAAAACTAACATTGGCTTACACAAAAGCATGTGATTTCCTGTAACAACAAAACAAACATTTAACCCAATATATACTGAGTGTTT